GGGGTGCCTGGGATTTAAAAAAAAAAAAAAAAAGGGTTGCGGCTGGTCATTCTGTTTAATCCTGTGCAATCACTAGATGAGAGTGAGGTAAATCCTTCATTATTTGGCTCCTCTTCTCAAGAATCTTGAGAAGATTCATGAGGTGCATGATATCAGGAAAACAATGTAATAATGAGCCAATATTGCAAAGCTTTAATAAAATGAGAAAAATCCTAAACAGATCCTAGTGGGGAATTAATAATCTGAATTTTAGTTAAAAATCACTGTAGGACTGTTGGTTAAACAGATCAGTTTTGAAATTGTTCTGGATAGTTGTTCTCAAAATGAAACTTGATTTTTTAAAACATCTTTGATAATGTTCTACCTGAAGAAACTTCACCATTGGGGGAAAAAAAAAAAAAACACACATATTTTTCAGGACAGAAAACAGCCAGTGGAATTCTACAAGGAATTTTCAGACTACAATTCTAACCAGTAAAAAAAATAACTTTTTTTCCCCCCCATAATTGACCGGAAAAGATGAAAAACAAATGTTCCAGGACAACGTGAAATAGAAAATGTTGGTTGGTTGGTTTGGGTTTTTTTTTATAGTGAACTGAGAAAAGCCAGCCATGTGACATCACCACAGTGACAGTTAGGATACATGGAAGCTGCCAGACCAGACACTGAGTGCCAGGATCAGTTTACCTCTCAAGTGAGTACACACAAGTATTAAGTACACCTGAGGCTTATTTCCTGGTATTTTCATTCCCCTGTAACAGAAACTGCTTCAAGCAATGCATCCAGTCCTCTTCCTGCAGCAAGAAATGGTGGCATTTTGATAATATCAAAACTCATTTACATAAAGGAAAAAAATAAAAACAGAAAGGATTTGCTTAGAAATAAAACACATATTAGTTACCATCTTTATTATTAAATAAAAGGCGTATATAGTTACCATCTTTTGAACAGCTAGGCTTCAGGCCAAATATACATCCTAGGATTGTCGTTAACATGCAGACACAGAGTACCTGTGGGACAGGAAGGAAAAGAAAGTAATCTTAAATGAACATGAAAGCCCCAATTTTCCCCATAATGCTATGCACTTGTACCAAAATTGATAAACATGCAGGTTAGAGGTTTTGAGTGAAATTAGAGGCTGATTTCACTGCTTTCACAGGCAGCTTTCACTCACACAAGTAGTTATGTTGTTTGCAATTAACTACTGGTGCATGAACATGAATATTCTCATTCTTTGTATTTCATTTCTAATCAAGTTATTTAATGTAGACACGATGACATATTTCTTTCTCACAAATGAAAACTTCAGCTGTTTATGGTTACACATACATTAACTTATAGAAGTGTAATGTTCTTGGGTCCACTTCTTCTTTCCTCTTGCATTGTTCTAAGAAGGTAAAGCAAAGTTTTGCCATTGACCACAGACTACAAACAGAAGGCATGGCTGTTAAGGCACACCTATAATTTTCTTCAGCAGGGAAACCTTTTCCCACTTCCTAGTACCTAACTCACACTAGACATTGGTCCATATCATGGTAAGCAACTGTGGGATGTCACATTAGACCAACTACAGTGTCTTACTTGACCAGAAACTATGGCTGTGTTTATTTTGTATTCCAAAGGCATCAAAGTTATCAAACAAACACTATATTGCCCTTGCCCAGCATTTTAGGGTGAGATCTAATGTCTATTCAAATACAGGGAACAATGCCTTTTGACCTCATTAATGATTGGATTCAGTCCATAAACTCTTTAGTGAAAATGTATATACTATCAATGCATAAACAATAATTAAAGAGTCAAAAAAAGCCAACAATGCACTCATGAAGGTTATTCTATTTAAGTGTAGAATGTAATAAGGCAGTTTACTAAAAGTCCCAAAAGAGAAGGCACTCTAATAATGCACTTTCTTATTCAGAAGTGTTTGAGAAGTAGGGGTAGTAAAGAATATACATGTCACCTTTCCAGTCATTGATTTCTGAGGAAAAATTGCTTTCAATCAATACTTTTATAACTTCATGTACATGCTTACAGTCTCTCCCTTTTCTCCTCCTCTTCTGTCAGCAAAAGCTGCTGACTCAGTCTTTTGAGTATGATACCTGAATCATGTGAAGTGGTAAAATTAATCCCATTTAAAAAGGCACCTAATTATTTATCAAGCTCACTTTTTAAAAGTCTGAGCGCTTGGGTAAATTAAAAAAAAAAAATCAGTCTTTTTTAACAAATATATCATTCACTACACAACTTTGGTCACTAAGCAGTTAAAGACAATAAGAAAGCAATTTCTGGAGTGTGTAGGATTGAAATTCAGATGTTATTCTGGATTTGTGAAGTGCAAGTTATCATAAATCTTATTAATCAATATCCAAAAGATGACATACATAGCATTAATGAAAAAAGGTAGAAGACTGGTCCTGATGAAACTTTGGCCTAGAATTCTAAGCCAGTCAAGTCTAGAATCTTAGATTATTCAAGGCAACGTCTAGCAGAGAAATATATACTATTTGAGTTCAAATCTATCTTTGAATTTACAAGGAAAGATACAACCGATAGAAAGGTGTGAGCCTCCACTAAACCAGCTGTCATGAATGAACACAACTGCAGAGCTCTGCACTTGCCTTTGTTTTTTTTTTTTTTTAAACAGCATACACATATTTACATGTGCAGTAACAACAGCACTTTCTATTAAGTCAGTATCAACAGTATTATCTTCCATGTAAATTGTTCTGGGCCTTTGAAATCTTCCATATGAAATATCACCTAGATAAAAGCACATGCACAGCTGGGTAGGTTGCACATCAAATGCAAGATGTCAAATCCCAGCAATGTCAGCAGAGAGAACAAAGCCTGTTATTGTCCTTTTAACTTACATATTATGTGGAAATTAAAAATTGATCCATTTGTTTTTAAAAAGCCAGCTTGAGAACATTTTGTTTCAGGGTGATGATATATTGCCTCTCTACTCCCACCAGGCCCTGCTACTAAGATCAAAGAGCAGAATGTAACAACATGTACCCACAAACAGGCTTTAAAACAAACAAAACCACACCTACTCTATCTGTAAGAGCTTTATTCCCACATTTTCAAATAGCTACATGACCTAGGGGATTTATGAAATGAAAACACACTGTGGTGCCACTAAATGGACTATTAATATTCCCTTATGAAGATTCAGTGTAGGAAGCATGTTTAAAAAACAGGAATTTAATTGTGGCACCAAATTAATGTAAAAACAAAATCTAAATAAACCCCACTCCAAAGCAGGAATATTACAATACATCTCAACTAAAACTGGTAAATCCTCACTGAAGTGGTCTCAAATAGTTCCTGAGACTTTGGCACCAAATGTTACAAAATCCCACTTTTTTATTGTGTTCCAGATTTTCAGCTTTTCACATCCATGAACGTAATTGATTCCAACAAGCAAAACCACGAAAGGATTATGTTCACTGAGGCATATGAATGTTCTTTTGGGTAGGAAATACTACAAAATAGTAATGCTACTTGATACAATAGTGCAACTCATGTTTCCTGCAAGCAATATTCTGGAAACTTCATAGTGTCACAAACCACAGCATATTACAAAGGCTCTCTGTATCTTTACTACAGACAGTTCTGCTCTCAGATTTCTTATACAGGCACACAAAAAAAAACACATGATACAGGTCCTTACCTGGTATACTGTGTCCATCTATAATAAACAAATACCTGGGAACTTCAATAGATTCATTACATTCAGGACTTTGCCTTCTTAACCGTAGTCCCACTAGCTTAAATTTTAGTCTTTACTGCAAAACAGTAATCTTCCCTTCCCATTTTTATTTTTTCTGTCTTTTTTTTTTTCATACTTAACAATGAAGCTTAAAAAAAATTGTAATCTTAGAGGTAAAGCATTTGACAATGTTCTGGGACAGCCAACTCTGATCTAGTGGACTATAGTATGAAATTGCAGCTCAGTGTTCAAGGCTTTCAACCAAAGCTTTACTTCAAGCCTGAATTACTTCACTCATGTGGATATTATCCACACAAATGGCACAAATGCTCAGCCAGAACAATGTGCAGCAACTAACACTGGCCAACAGCAGCACTCCTGACTAGGCACAGCAAGAGGTGTTTCACTAGTAGTTGACCTATTGTCAGTGGAAAGCCTCTAAGATTCTATGATTATCAGCTATGTAGATGACAAGGAATATTCAAACTAGCTTTAAAGGTCACCCAGGTACAAAAAGTCATGCC